TATATGCGTTTATGGGTGTTTTTCAGGAGTGACAAAATGTTGAAAAATAGATCAACATAAATTATTATATTTTATTATTCAGGTCCCCTAGCAATGAAACAAAATATTTGCAAATGTAAATATTCTGAACATGTAATGCTGAACTTTGAAGAACAAAAGGAAAGTAGTAGCTTACAATTCAAAATGTCTAATTCAGGGGCAAAAATGCTGGAACATTCAGAGGTTCTATAGTATAATTACCTTGAGGGTCAGATATCAAATTAACATTCCTATGAATTGTTTTACTTTACTGTGTTCTGCTGTATTGCTTGTTTAGATCTTTTGTCCGTTATATTTAACTAAATGCTGAGCAGCTCTGGATGTGCACATTTATTTTCAGTATGAGATCCTATTACACTAGAAGATACTGTATCTTTGTCCTGTTTAATGACCATGAAAGAAAATATCCTAAAACAAATTGATCATAATGTTTCTGAAGTTGTTGATGAATGAGTATCATTAAAAATGTACTCCAGCAAAATTTATAAAATTACCCTGTACAGTATGTGGACATCACAGTGTCAAATTGTACTGCAGGCAGATTCTGTTCTCAGAAAATTGTTATGCCATTTTGGCTTGCTGCATTTTAGATAAGCCTTAATTGGAGTGTCAGGATTTAAATGTTGGTCTTATCTGAACCTTAACTCACACTTCCCTTGTGTTTTCCTCATACTTATCTAGACCTTTTTCAGTACATTAACTACCCTGAGCCAAGGCATTGTGGGGTAAACAAACCATTGTTTATATTCAAGTGAGAATTCTATGTGTGTTGTATCTTCTGTGAAGTGCAAGATGGATTATAGTTCCTCTGTGATAGTGATTGCAGTTCGTTACATCAGAAATACAGTACATGATGGCAGTATTGAAGTCAGTTTTATACTGAAGAGCTCTGTATTGGTTTAATTCCTGTAACTTGTCCTGTAACTTTTCAGAACTTCTTGTTCTAATTTTTTTCTTATATTTTTAAGCAAGATATACCCAACTGGGCATAATTAAAGGTGTGAGTTAAATATTGTTTTATATTGTATGAATAATAATATTGTTGACAATTAATGCAAAGCTTGTAACAGTTGCTAATATTTAGCAATGTACACATCCATGTCATTAAGTATTTCTTTTTAAGAGTTAGTACAAGGAATTTACATTAGACAGTTTTGTGGAATGACAATACAATAAATTGGTACTGTAGCATGGTAACATCTTTTATTATTTATTTTGTGTATTACATTCCTACTAAAAGATGCTTGCTAGAAAAGGATAGTGTATCTATATACGTTAAAGTAGAATGAAGTAATTGGCAAATTCTACATGTTTATAATATATGCTCCATTAGAGTGTGCTGGTATAGAGAATGATTGTTTTTCATTTCAGATGGACAGAGACAGGAAGTGACTCTTGGAGGAGGAACATCTAGACATTGTTTCTATGATCTTGTACCCAATACCCAGTACAAAATCACTGTCTATGCCCAACTCCAAGACATTGAGGGACCGGCTGTCACTGTTATGGACAAAACATGTAAGTGTTAATCCAAAAAACTGAGGCGCATTATGTTTAGGAATTACAGTATCTGAAGGTGTATGGGCCACTGTCCAAGTATGACAGAAACAACTTGAGAAATTCTGGTAATAATTTTAGCTACACAGCTGTTTTTGCATTGTGATGCTGCAGGCAGTGCAGCACCAGATTTATTCATGTGTTTTGACACAAAGTGAAAAATAGATCCTTTGAAAAATATTACTAATTCCCACAAGGCGAGATTCGAAAACCAAGAGTCAACTGTGAAAAACTGTTCAGCAGGTTCTCATATCGGAATTAATTCAGACAAAATACACTAGGTATGTGTTTATAGCAGTACAGCCTGCAAAAGAAAGAATTAACAGTGCTTAAAACTTTTTTTTTTAAAGAATGAAACATGATTCACTTGAAGTGGAAATGACAACAAAACCATAATTGATTTAAGGTAGAGGCCATTGAGCTATTTACAGGTGGCTTCAAGAATTCCTGTATCAAATCATGTATGATGGTGATTTTATAATGCAATCTAGTGTTTACCACCAACATAAATGAGATAAGACCGTAATCTGTTGAATGAAGTCATGAGTGAGTAATTTTTCAGTTTCCTTAAAGTGAACATATAGTTTTCATAAGCCACTGTTCAACAATTTGGACTTCTTCTAAGTGTGCTTGTTTCCTTTATATTATTCTGGGTTAGATTTGTCCAATCCTGATAAATTACTGGCTAATTCATTTACTCCATCCTGCATAAAAACTATCCACTTATTACAAAAGCTGGCCAGTGCTAAATCCTTACTGCATCAGCAGTGAGGCAGGTAGACCTTTTGTAGCCTTCTAATAACTATACAACTCTGCTATGCTATATTTCTGATTATACAAGGATAATACTGTATGAGTACATGTGCTCCAGGATACCAGCACGTCTTTCAAGGCACCATCAATTAGTTGCAATGAAACCGATGAACTAGATAGGCTGGATGGCAGCCTGTAGTTTTGAAACTTATGCGTCATTACATCACAAAGGTTACAAACAAGACGAGGCCATTCAGCAACCAACATAGCTGTGTTGAAGGAAGCCAGGGTTTCAGCTTCAACAATTTGTCTAATTAGCCAGGTAGCTTGTTCCAGATCCCCACTACCCTTTTTGTAAGAAAAGTGTCTCCAGGTCCCAATAGTAAAAGCACTTCTGAGAGTTTCCACTTGTGTCCTTTGGTTCATGTTTCTCCTTTCAGTTCTAGTGTATTAATCTCCCTATAATTCAAACATCCAGTTCCAGTGCCAACTGAGCCACCGACGACACCACCCACTACCACTCCTCTTCCCACAATTCCTCCTGCTAGAGAAGGTAAGCAAAAGCTGCCTTTCTATTCTTGAACATGTGCTTTCTTTTTAATCTACACTTTTTGCTAAATTGGCGGTTTGGAAATTAACAGGCAATTTGTAATTATTAGTTAAAAATCTTTAAATGCACACAATTAAGTGTGGTGTACATTACAAGTTTCTTGACAGAGCACAGAGTGGGATCAATAAATACAGTTTTTTTTTTCAGTTTGGTATCATTGTTCCAGCAACCATAAACATCCATTCAAGTAATATAAATCACAGACAGGATATTAACAGTATTCGGATTATTGAACTACAGGCATTGACTGATATGCTTAAGAAGGTCTGCATTATTTTACTGCTTACTAATGATTTTATGGTCCTCTAAGGTTGAAAAAATAAGTAGTTGCTGATATTTTTTTATTTAAATGTGACAAAAGTCAATTGCATAATGTTTGGGGAAGAAATTAAAACCTCTTCATGCAAAAGGAACAGGCTAGGAACAGGTTGTATTTAGGTCTTGCTTGTTGAAACAATAATTTGTTTATGCATTTTAGCATTGTGGCAGGCAATCATTTACTATTAAAATACAATAATCAGAATTTAATTTCCCCACTTTTGGGATCAGTTAAATGACAAAGAAAAACATTAGAGAAACATTTTCCTGACTAAAAAATATAACATTGAAAAATTGCACCTCTGTCTGTGATATATTGAAAGGATGTGATTAGAAACAATTGCTGTCAGTTAATTGCTGCCAATTGTTCATAGCAGGTTCTAGTAATAATTTGCAAATGTGAGCTGAATTTAAAAACAGTTTTTTTCCAATGACTGTTGGAATAGCCTTCACTTGAAGGATCAATACATGTCCATTTCCAAGTGCATATTCATTATGTACTATTATGTTACAACAGAAATGTGATCTGTTGCGGTTGCTCTGATATAACCCATTTTCGTGTTTTTCACCAATTATCCGAACACCTTTTTTGAAAATGGATAATAACATTGAAACCTTTTCACTAATTCTTTGTTAATCTGACATGTTTTCCACTTTTCCTGCAGTGTGCAAAGCTGCCAAAGCAGACTTGGTCTTTTTAGTGGATGGGTCCTGGAGTATTGGAGATGACAACTTCCACAAAATCATACGCTTTCTGTACAGCACAAGTGGTGCACTTGACAAGATCGGCCCTGATGGCACTCAAGTAAGAACAGAGTGGTACCTTCAAAATGAATAACCTCATCAGGTCAATCTTGTATTACAACACCCCTGTCATGAATCTGTAAGTCATCAATACTACGAAGGCACTGGCTCAGATTGTATTTCTTATACAGTGTATGACCAAATAAAACTACTCAAGCAGAGGTTATTTAAATGCTAAATAATAGGGGAAAAAAAGAAAAACATTAAAACATTTTGGCTGAGAAGTGTTCTTTACAGGCACTGGCAAGATCTACTTTCCTTTATGGAGTTAACCTTAGAGAGCTCCTTTACAGATCCCACATTGACAAAGATCCCTGCTTGAGTCTAAATAAAAGGGTTCATGAAGAATCACACAAGTTGTTCCAAATGTTGGCTGAGGAATAAAGGGGGTATTGGGTTGATATGGAGATCAGAGGAGACAAATCGCTGATGTCTTGTTAGGCTCCAGACAGCCTTTCTTGAGCGGATTCCAGTCAATTCAGGACCTCTAAATATTCATTGGACAAAAACAGAATATGTCTAGACAAAGAGATGAGAGGACATTGATCATATTCAGTGCACACACGCCATTAAGTTGTGTTTTTGTAGCCTAGTGATACAGTAAATAAGGAGAGTCATAAGGAGAATTTGTACTTTTTGAAATAAATGATAATACGGGCTAACACAGAAAACAACCTTGCAGAAGAAAGTAATCAACACCACCTTATGGAGGACAAATGGAGGTGGGCTTTCCATTTTAATTTCTGAGAAGTGGTATATCAAAGTGAATGGTTTTTAAAGAGAAAAGTCAATCAGGACAAAGGACTGACTTTGCACTGGTTCCAGCCAATGCTTAAAAAATTGTAGTTATTATAAAGAGTTGTTTACATTTCTGACAGGTTGCCATTGCACAGTTCAGCGATGATGCCAGAACAGAATTCAAACTCAAGTCTTACGATGACAAGGAATCACTTCTGGATGCAATTCAGCGCATCACATACAAGGGAGGAAATACCAAGACAGGTATGTATTGAGTTTTCTTCGTGGGCCAGAGGGGAAATAAAGAGCGTGTCTGGACTTGAGAGTCGGCATTAAATCTCTGCTGTCTGACAGTTGTGATGCAATAGGTTGGAACAGACGCCGTGAAGTCCGAGTTAGTAACAAAAATATATAATACTGTAGGTAGTAATGGTGACATTTCATTATTGTGCAAATATGGTTTATTTTGATACCCAGGTTTATTTTCTCTGCAGGCTTGTGACTTTTTTTCACTGTTTAAATATGTCAGTTGTACTGTAGGTACACACTGTCATCTTCAAGAAAGAAAATAAACAAGAAAAAACATGCTTGTTGCATTACTATATATAAAGAAATGATTTTAGCAGACTTTTTATACATTGGAATGTTTCATGGTGAATGGCTAAACTGATTATTTTTGAAGCAAGTCAGTTTAAGAAAGAAACATAGACAAAACACAAACATTTTGAATAAATACAGGGCAGTGACATTCATGTGTTATGCATTATAGTTATTAACTACAGTAAAGCTCCATTATAATTTCCTTGAACTTTAAAATGTTCCTTAACTGTTGCATCATCTTCTTAAACAGTTTATATAACCCACAAAACAGTTCTCTGGCTTCATGGTTCTATTAAATTCTATTGAAATTGTACCCAAATGACGTAATACATTTTCTGCAAACATTCACATTAGATACCACTAAATGAGATACAATGCAAAACTAATTGTGGTATTGCATATAATGTGTGTTAGAAGAAATGAATCAACCCTCTTTCACTAACCAGGCTAAACGGAAACCCTTCAGCTGCACACAGCTGTGAAGATGTTATTATAGCTTGGCTGTTTTTACTGGCAGCTGTCACAGCCAGCATGGATTACTTGCAGAGTCTCTGAGTGCCTTTAATAAGGCACTAGATAGATTGAGTCCTTGGTCTTCTCTGGTGAATTACTGCTGTCTGCATCCAGATACAGTAATACAACATGATAGTCCTGTAGTTAGTTAGTATTTATTCATAAGTGTGATAATTGCTGTAATTGTGTTTGAAGCATTCATTTGGTAGAGCTAGGATGTTATGGCTAATCCTTAGTCTATATTTTAATTTATATGATGTTTCAAGGGGCAATATAGGGTTTACTTTAATCAGTTTTTGTAATTTGTGTTTTGAATGATTTACAGTAGAAAAACAAATATAATGCTAAGTAATATTTTGTTCTTGGATAAATGTCAAACTGCCCTCCAAGACTGTCCGGCTGTTTATGAAGAAGAAATGTGTATATATTCTGTGTGGTTTAGATGGAAATGGCAAAAAGAGAGCTGGAGTTTTTCAGCAGCTTTTAATAATAATAATTCCTTACACTTCTATAGCACTGTTCTGGACACTCCATTCAAAGCGCTTTACAGGTAATGGGGGCTCCCCTCCACCACCACCAGTGTGCAGCCCCCACCTGGATGATGCGAAGGCAGCCATAGTACATCAGTACACTCACCACACACCAGCTATCAGTGGGGAGGAGAACAAAGTGATGAAGCCAGTTCATAGATGGGGATTACTAGGAGGCCATGATTGATAAAGTCCAATGGGAATTTTAGCCAGGATGCTGGGGTAACACTTTTACTCTTTTCGAGAAACGCCCTGGCATTTTTAATGACCACAGAGAGATAGGACCTTGGTTTTACATCTAATCTGAAAGACAGCGCCTTTTATACAGTAAAAAATCCCCATCACTATACTGGGGCATTAGGACAAACACAGACTGCAGAGTGAGCGCTCCCACTGGTCCCCTGAACACCTCTTCCAGCAGCAGCCTTAGTTTTTCCCGGGAGGTCTCCTCTCCAGGTACTGACCAGGCTCACACCTGCTGAGCTTCAGTGGGTTGCCAGATGTGAGTTGCAGGGTGATATGGCTGCTAGCCATGTTTAGATGCATACATATACAGTGTATGGAAAGTAAATTATATTTGTATAGTATAGAATGTGCTTAAGTGAATATTATATTACTTATATTTTATGGATTATTTTATTAATGTTTAAAGCATTACATAAAAGTAATCAATCAATCAATTATTAAGAGATTATTTACTTAAGGTAAATTAATAAAATTCTCCAGTGTTATTAATATTTTCTACAAAAAATAGTTATACCCATGGCATTATACTCTGGAAATTAATCCTTTTGTTTTAAGAAATTTAGAATTTTGTATCATTAGAAATATGATTCTTTTTGGACACACCAAAAGCTCCTGTAGGAGTTTGATGAGGATTAATATCAGCCAATCAGAAAATGCATTTGAGAATGTTTATTGAGGAGGTAGGCATACGAAACTTAATCCTCTTGGGTGTGGGCTGACCATATGGCCATAAGACGAAAAAGATCAGAGATAAGTAGCTACAAAGATGGAGATGGAGTGGAGGAGGACACAGAAACACAATTTGTGAGCAAGAGAGAAAATTGTTCTGTAGTATTGGGTGTTTCAGGATGTGATATAATAGAGAATTACAGAAGTTGGAGGTGCATAAGAAGGTACAATCTTGGTTGCTGTCCCTCTCCAACCTTCTTTAATAATCCCATTTAAGGGGTCCTTAGATAAAAAAAATTAAGAAGAAAAATAGACATTGAAACACATGAACTAGAAATAAAAAGATTGACGCTGAATATACTAAGACAAAATCTACTGACCCCTATAAAACACTAAGAATCAGTATAATATTCTTCAATAAACTGAGACAAATTCTACTCACAACTAGGCAAAGATATTAAGAGCTTGGTAACAAAATACACAAACTCTAGCCTTGGCAACAGAAAATCCAATCTGAAATTATGCCACATTCAAAACATTCAAAACTTGTCCTTAAAATCAAATTTATATCAGTTTCAATTCCAAAATAATCTGTTACTTTTAACCTTAGTAGTGAATCATACAGTTCTCCTTAACAGCGGGGAGATATGATTTATTAAAAAGTACACAAATGACTTAGAACACTGAAATTAAACTGAAACGTTTTCAACTGAAAGTTTTCCTAGACATACAGAAAGACACTAGAAAAAACATTTGCCAAAGAGGAAATGGAAGGACACACAAAAATTTAAAAAGTGGAGAATTCTTATTTAAAATGTATGATTTTTTTATGGTTCTGGATGCCTTTATTTTTTACAAATATTTTTAAATGATAAACTACATGAAGACCCCTTATCATAGTGTCCAATGTTGTTCATAAATTCAGATTAAGATTGAACTTGACTTTTACTTGAAACAGGTCCTCTTTCATTTCTTAATGTATGGAAGACAGTTTAATCATGCAATAATGTATATTTAATAAAATAGAATAGTTGGGAAAGTGTGACAATAGCAAATTCACTTCAAACCTTCAGTCACATTGATTGGCAAGGTTTTGGAATCTTCAATAAGGGGACTGTTTTGCAGATTTGTCCCTTTGTCTTTATTATACTCTTAAGGCTCAAGTCCACAGAAATGGAATGCTATCTTGTTCTCCATTTCCTGTGCGACCAGACAGGTTTGCCCTTCATCTCCATTACTGTTTGTTCTGGCCCTAGAACCCATAGGTGAAAAAAAATAGGTCAGACCTGAATATTAGTGGCTTAGAAACTGGGAACAAAAGAAACCGTTTCCTTGTATGCAGATGGTATCCTCTTCTTTCTTACAAAAGGTAGGAGAGTTCATTGCTAGTCATTTTAAGAATTTAGGATTTTAGTGTGTTTACAGGATATGGATTAAAGTGTATGTAGAGTCAGATCCTTCTCCTTCCAGATTCAGAGCGCTCACATGTGGAACAGTTCGTCCCAATTAAAATAACACCCAATGGAATAAAATCCCGTCATTTATAGAAAAACATTTACAATTTTGTATTTATATAAATTGAGCGATATTCCGCTAATGGCTAAAACTTGCAAGAATTCAGCTACTGTAGACTGGTATTCTCAGTCATTGATAATTAATGGCAGAATATATACATTAATGAGAGCTGCAGACTTTAGCACATTAAATTGTTGCATATCAATCTCCTAACCATTACAAGATTATAATGCTTCAAGGAAGGTTATTCATCTTTGTGTTCAAAATGTAAGAGCCAGGAGGGAACCTTTTTGCGTTTAATGTCTCAAGAGATTCTTGAGTAATGTTTTACCAATAGATTTACTGTATTCACATTATTAGAGGATATAATAAATCTGAATTGATCAAATATCAGCATAGGCAACAGTTGTAGACTACCTGCAGTAGTTGCCAAAAGGTGTATAATATTCTAATAGTATCATGCAGTTCCTTCCTGTATCTCAAAAGCTAAATATATGTACACCTCCAGAACAACCAGCTAACAAACTGAAAGGCAGTCATCAATTATTCGTCAAAACATAAGCCCCTATGGAACTGTATTTCATTAAGTTCTTGAATATATAAGTACTTCAGATGTGGATGGTTGTATTATGTTTATCTCATGTTTTTGCACAGATAATGTTAGTCTAAGTGTTATTAATATATTGATACAACATGTATGGCAATCTGGCTTTGTGTAATGTTATACAGTATATGTTTCCTGTAAGAGGCAGTTACTGAACTGATTACTAGATAGCAACGCAAGGTTTTTACACTTTTAGACTTAATCAGTCACACACGAATATCATTTGGACACAGTCATGTTTTTTTATTCCAAGAGAATCTTTCAACTTGTTACATTTCTTCATCAAAATTTGTTAGTACTACCTCTTCAATTTATTAATCAGGTTTGACTGTCATTAAAGGGGGCATCATTCCTATATTTATAAATATTAACTGGAAAACTTTGTACAGTATATCTTTCTTTTGTGTAAAATCTGGCTAATGAAGATCTAGACTCAGAGTGATATACTGTAACAGTAGTTAGCCATCTGTGGCTTTGGATTTGATTAAATGCATTACACTTAAGTTAAGCTGCAGATTGCACATACAAGTACTGTTTAACATACCTGTAAGAAACAGATTGGCAGTGGGTGAAAGTTTTAGGTCAGAAGTACTGTATATGATAATTTTTTCGCCTGTTTCTGCAGTTTAGCCTCCCTGTGTCTTGGAAGTATTTGCTATGATAATTCCAATGACCTCAGCCATTGCTGAAACACAATGACTGAAGAGAAAGTGGCAGTTTATAATGCAATAAACAACTGTTCGTTTTTATCATTTATAATTAGGCTGACAAATTGATCACGCATTTTGGTCCCGGCTCAGCTCCTCCAAGATTGCAACCACACGTTGACAACCACAACTTTGGTTGAGATTTGAGAGAGCTGATGGTGTTCTTTTTGCAGTAGTCCAGTTTGTCCTTCACACCTTGTCAGAGGTACTAGTTTCATCAAATTCCCTAGGCTGCTTCTTACTTTAATAAGGTGACCCCTGAATGACAGGCATTAGACACTGACAAGTGTCTGTTCTGTGGTTAAACAGCCAGGTCTTGTCAAGGTGAAGCCTCCTGATAACAGATTCAATTGTAGAACAGGTAAAATAACTTTGTGTGGTTCCTAGCATTTTTCCTTCATTGAAACTGCCTGAATATACTGCACATTGCCCCCGACAAACTGCCTCATACCGTATAGTGCATACAGTCCAAAACAACTACAAAACATGCAATGTATTTAATTTTTAAGTAGAGAAATGCACATTTAATGTAGTGGGCTTGTATTGTTTTGTAGTTTTAAGATACAAAAACATTCTTCATGTATTATTCCCATGTATTTGAGGCTAGGCTTTAAACTTGATTTTCACAAAGTAGGAGCCACATTTTCAAACGACAATTTCTATTATGTTTTCTTTATTTCACACCAGAGGCTTCCAGCCTTTGCTGGCACGGAGGGTGGGGGGGGGGCGCATCACTTTCAATAGTTTTCCACACAGTCTGTTGTGGAGACAAATCATTATTATGAAGAATTCTACTATTAATTGTACAATATTAAACCCACAACTAAAGGCCATCATATCCATTACAGTACATGCATTTTCAGAACATACTGTACCAATGCCATAAGAGTTTTAGTTTTGCACAGTAGATTAGTGGTGAAACATATAGTTAATCTATGTTTCTGGGAACTTTGTGGGCAGTCTGGCTGACCTGGATATCTGGTTGAAAACTACTGTTTTACAATCTTTTGCTTTAAGCTCTTCTGCAAGGTTGATTCAAAAATCATTATCAGACTTCTGTGTGTCTAATGAGATCAGAACTATAGATGTATATAGTTCTATAGATGATGTCAGCAACAGTTATCCCCCTGTCCACTGTGTCTGCAGGAAGAGCCATCAAGCATGTGAAGGACGCTATCTTCACTCCGGAGGCAGGAATGAGGAGGGCCATTCCTAGAGTGCTGGTTGTTTTGACTGATGGACGATCTCAAGATGATGTCAACAAGGTTTCCAAAGAAATGCAGATGGAAGGTGTGTCAGACAAGTGTTTCGCTTTATGGTTTATTGTCGTAGTGGCAACCTTTATTTTGACAGAATGAAAATCTAAAGATTTTAACAAAGTGTGCAGAAATAATCAGTGTCTTTATTCTGAATTAGTATTTTGTCGGTGTGATGGAAACCAGTTATAATGCCATGGAGAACAGCTTAACAAACTGCAGGAGCTTTTAGCAGGGGAACACAAAAACATTAACAATTGTGTCTTGTGGTTTTGCAAATCCATGTCTGTCAGGACAATCTGTTACCTTGAGATTCTGATAATACTAATAATATATACTTTTTATGTACAAGCACTTTATTAAAGTACACACATTCTACACATATCAGAAGTAAAATAGTAATATTGTAGTACCATTGTATGAATCATGCTCCTTGATAGAGTAAGAACACCTGAATCATAAGACCTCATATTTAAAAGTTGTATCATACTTGTGGAATAAGTCCTTAAATAATAATAATTATTATCTTATACCTGAACAAAAACACCCCAAAATCTATTCTAAATTTCACAGTGATCCACTACTGATTACAGACAATGGGAGTTATGTGAGGAATCTGTATAGTTTTTGTTAGCACATGAGTCACAGAATTCTGCATATACTAAAGCCTTTTTTGTACCTTAAGATACCCCAGGAAGTAAGGTATTACAGTATTGCATCAATATTTTATGAGGCAGAGCAGAGGTCTCAAACAAGTAATGTTATGCAGGTGGAACAAATGATATTTCTAACATGTCAAACAACAGCACAGTCAAATGCAACATCAAGGTTTCTTACTTGGAGCCAACCAGTATAATTTCAGTCACAGTTTAACTTAAGAAACATTTAATTTCTGCAGTCTGATAATAAATGACATTATTATTCCAGGACATTTTATTCAGAAATATTCCCTAGCTTGTGATCGCAATCACTGACTTAAACCCTTAACCTATTACAAAGGATTCCAGTTTATATACTCCCACTGACATGGCAGGAAAATTTTTTGTGCATGAATATTGAATTCATATGCTGTGTGTCATTAAAGATTCCTGCTTTCTCTCGTAACAGGCTACATCATTTTTGCTATTGGGTTTGCTGATGCTGACTATGGAGAATTAGTTAATATTGCCAGCAAGCCCAGTGAGAGGCATGTTTTCTTTGTGGATGATTTGGATGCTTTCAAAAAAATTGAGGAACAACTGGTAACCTTTGTCTGCGAAGCTGCATCTGCAAGTAAGAAGTTAATTATATTTGGAAGGCCACTCACATTTTATCAAACAGCCCAAGAAAGCAATGTGAATGTGCATTTTTATCCACTGTTGATAGTTTCAATAAAAAACAAGGTAAAATGAAATAATGTAACTTATCTCTGTTTACAGAAGACTTAACCACTAACTGCCTGTTATACTAATCACATTATTGAACAAGTCATATAATAAGTTACATGTATATTTATGCCTTTAGTCATATTTAGAATAAACATGAACATAGTTTTTTAAACTTTTCTCTCTCTCTGGTTTTTCAGCCTGTCCATCTGTTCTAATGAGTGGCAATACCTTAGCAGGTAAAATACATGTCTCTTTGATTTAAAGCTGCATCGATTTAAAAGATGTGCCCTGTTGCATTGATGTATGGGCAAGCTTGTAGTCATAATTTTTAGTAGTCTTTAGAGACCTATTTGTGTTCAAAATTTTGTCATTTGGAAAGATAATTTAGCTAAATTGTATTGTCAGATTACATCTTTCAATGTGATGTTATAGTGTCATGTTTTTCTACTCAGGATGAGGTGCTGTGTATTGAAGAACAATCAGGAATATGTCCGTGGTGCTCTTTTTAATGACAGTATCTAGAATGTTTGGTTTTATTTGTAGTCACACCTGGAGGTATAGAAGGACAAGTTCCAATATACATTCTGTTAGTGTTGTATGACCATAGTATACAGATAGTATAATATATCATAACAGCAGTAGCTTCTTAACAGATTCATGAACAGATTTCTTGAATTTAATAAAATGCTGACTGTGTTCTGCAGGGTTCAGGATGATGGAGATGTTTGGTCTTCTTGAGAACCAGTATGCCTCCGTTGATGGAGTGTCTATGGAGCCTGGAACTTTCAACAGCTTTCCCTGCTACAGGCTTCACAAGGATGCCCTCATCTCACAGCCCACAAAGTACGTTCCTCCCCTGCTTCGAGCTATGAAATAAATCTTTAAATTATTGCACAGTAAATAGAGAGTGAAGTAGGCAAACTGGGAATGAAGGCCATAATTCGAAACTCTGAAGTCTCATTGCATTCTTTCAGTAGTCAATATTCTTCCTTGTATTCCTTGAACAGTGAGAATTAATTACATTTGAAATCAGTGAACTAAACACTTATAACATGTCAAATTAATGCTGGCTTTTGTGCTTAACTCAATACTTTTGCAATGACAGCTATATTACTGCTGTGTTTTAGAATAATATTTAGATAAAGTTTTCTTTTATGTTTACAAGGGGTGTTAACATTGGTGAATTACTTTTGTATTTACTTTTTATGGGACCTCCATCATTCCAAGTAAAAAGGAGCCTTGTGTATGTCAGCACCTCTTTAATTTTATTTTTGTCTAGACTTACTGAACACAATAAAAGAAAAATACTTTTTTCTTACAGTATGACTCTGGTGTGGATTGGTGGATTAGAGAACTGTAACTGCTGACCATATATAAAGTATAACAAACTACTGTATCAACTCGATATAAACTTGAAGGGAAAATATTGACTGAATCAATTCCAGAAATAGGTAAAATTATTAAAGGATACAAAAGGCCTGCAAGTGTGTCCACAGCCTCCCGGAGACTGTTGTCAGAAAGTTTTGTTTTTTCATTGAACTAACTTTATTAATTATTTCCCACAGGTATCTACATCCCGAAGGACTGCCCTCAGACTACACCATCTCTGTAATATTCCGCCTTCTGCCTGAAACTCCCCAGGAGCCCTTTGCACTGTGGGAAATCCTCAACAAAGACAACGAGCCTCTCGTGGGAGTCATCCTAGACAGTGAGCATAGCTTCAGCTCTTCAAAGGCTACAACTGAGAGAAATCCTCGTTTTGAGAACAGTCAGCTAGGTCTTGGAACCAAGTGATTTAGTTTTTATCATAATACCTTTAGTCGGAATCGTCTCATAAGACTTGTCATGTTAACTATACCTTTCACTGCATTTACACATGGGTATGTGACGAAATACAGGTGATGATATTGACTTCAGCAATTATACTTAAAAGAAGTCAATTCAAAATATCTCGATATCCACAGCAAGACTGTATTTTATTTTGATTTAATATTCTCAGCTCAGGATTATTTGAGGAATGTCTGTACATCTGGACTTACACTAGTAGTATGAAAAGACTATAAATATTTTTAGCTTATGTGCATTGATTATAGTAGTAAAGTAATTCAAGGTTAATAATCATCTTGTTATACACATTTTGAAGTCTGTTTTACTTAGTTGCACTTAATTTTTCAATTTCTATAGAACAAATGCCCAGGAAAATATTTAATAAAATAAATATATCCTTTTTATAAACCCAGATGGCGGGAAAACACTCACCTTCTTCAACTATGACTATAAAGGAGAATTCCAGACTGTGACATTTGAAGGGCCAGAGATCAGGAAGATTTTCCATGGCAGCTTCCACAAGGTTAGTGGTGATTTACTGAGTATACAGGTATACAGTATCACAGATTGAGACTGATTTTCTGAGTTTAAAAATACCAATGGAGAGGATGGTAGACACATACATAGAATCCTCATAGAAACCTTGCCAGACATAGTACACTGCATTATGCTTTTTCTGACTGAACTCTTATAAAATTCTGTATTCTGTATGACATTTATTCACACCCTTTAGATCAAAGAGTCTTTTCTGAGATGGAATCCCTTTTTTCTGAAATACAACCTGGACCTATGAGTTAAAAAATAATGATCTAGTCTTATTTTACTTCTACCTAGCGTGTTGTAATATATATATATACACTGTAAATGTGATTGGAGAGCAATTGAATGGGTAATATGTGCTGTACATAATGTTGTAATCTGTAGCTAAAAGTTTACCAGACTTTACTTGCTAATAGTTAGAAAAATGTGTTTTTGTCTGAAAATAGTGTATGAGTATCTTCATAATTCTGTTTATATTTTTAATGTATTCCATTCAATTTTCCATTCTTTCTATTGCATGTGCAGAAATAATTTTGTTTCTCTTTGATTCCAATACATTATGTTTCTGTTTCTGATAAATGCTAATATATTCAAATGCTCCTGTATGTCTTGGTGTAACATTGCCTCCTGTTATTATCTGACAATGTGACAAGCAAGCGCAAGTTGGGAAGCTGTACGTAAAGATGTGAAGCATCCTGATGTATTCTGACATTTCCTACTGTAACTGTGTTTTAGTTATTAAATCTTTCAGCAGTAACACATATAACACCGAATGATTCCAGAGGCACATTCTTATTGTCCATCTTCTCATTTTCCAAGATTAATCCAATTCGAGGTCGCAGGGGAACGGGAGTCTACCTGAGGCAGGGTACACCCTGGATTGGACGCCAGGGCAGACACATAGACACAAATACAGGCACATACAGACGCGTACCAGGGCACAGAAGCCAGTTAATTACAAATATGTCTTTGGACTGTGAGAGAAAACCGGGGGATCTGGAGGAAACCCATGCAAACATTCAAACACATAAAGTCCATGCAGGTAGCACTCCAAGTCTGAAATTAAACCCAGGGGCTTTGCGCTGCATGACTTAGCCACTGTGCCACCCACATACATATTATGTAGATCCATAATTTAAAATATTTAGGTTATGAACTATAAACAAAACTGAAACATGACTGGGTTCCTCTGGGTTCCTTGGTACACTCTTAACCTCAAAGAAAATATTAAATTTGATTAGAATATAGATTAGAATTATACACTAGTCACTTTACCAGAATAGGTACTTCAAACCAGCAAGAAAATGAAACTAGAAGCTAGATGATAAAGAAGGGTGCATTCCACTGCTAATAGGCACTTCTTCATGTCCTTAATGTCTTTGTTAATGGACAATCTTACTAGTATTTTGACTGCTGATGATGTAACTGTATAGTTTCTTTTTCTTATGTCATTTAGTTATGTGTATATTATTCCAAATCCAAAGACAGTGTACATAACTAAAATAATTAAAATTTATTTAAGTGATTTAAAAAGGGATTTTAGAAGTATTCTGGAGGAGTTATATACATTTGTCTAAACAGTTGTAAAAGTTTTATAATTGATTCTGTAGGAATTATGTTAATTTCCAGATATATTCAGTGGAACTTGACTATATTTCTGATTAACTGGTGAAAATCTAAATAATTGAAATCTCACATCTCTTAATGTAATCTCTCAAACTTTAGTTTGGTATTGGATTTACTGCTTGGATCATTTTCTGCTGTGGTTCAAACTGTCATATATGAATTTTACTAATTCAGTCATTTTTAAATCAGAGCTTTTTGGCAAATTAAAGAAAGGAGTATGATGACTAGCTCATTTACTGTATTATCGTATTCATGTAGATTAAAAGCAAGTATATCCTACAGTATGTGCAGTTTTGACAGAATTTGAATAGGTAATTGTCCTTTTTCTTCTTTAAATGCATCTGTGGTTAAAACGAGAATGCTCTTCATTTTTTCACAATTAATAGAAAACACACTCATGGTCTCCTACTGCATAAGAAAAGTTTATGTGTACAGCTTTTTCGATATGTAAACATGTTTTAGTGAGATTGACACTTTCAATATAGCTGACCTTGGAAGTAATGTACTATGAATTGTTATGACAGCTTTAAAAGAAGAAAACTAAATAATGTGTGCTTTAGGAAACAATATTTGTTTTCTGCTGAGCTTGTTATCTTATAAGTGAAGTTTATTAGTTTTATAGACATTTTAGTTTATACCATATCATTTTTACTAACCTTATGTAATTAAATTACTTATAGTTGGGTTGAAGAAGTAATTGACATTAAAATATTGTAGTTGTTGCATTTTTCTTTAGATATTATATTAATGCAGCATAGTTTATATTAATTCTATCGGGCATTGCAATCTAATTTAATGTCTAGGAATTACGAATCATTCTACATCATTATAAAAGGATGAAGTCTTCCTTTGTCATATCATAATATAAAAAAAATGATGATTTTTCTTTTTAGCTTTTCTTTGTTTGAAGCTCAATTTTCTCCAAAGGTTGAACACTGCAAAAAACATTTACAGTATGTCCTAAAAGGACTGATAAAAAACTGTAAAACAAATTTGTACACCAACAGTTAACTGATTTGGAACTATATTAGCATTAGTAAATTTAAGGCAGTTTTGAATAATTTAAAACTTCAGTGTATCCTATGTCTTTTTAAAATGAAACCCCTTTAATGTATTTAGTGCAAAAATAGATATTGGACTGACTCCTTTCAAAGGGCAAGAAAACTAAAGCAACGATAGTTTTTTGTTGCACGTCTTCACAGAAAGGAGTTTCTATTTCTAGCAGTTGTAATTTTAAGAAGATACCATTTTGAAGAACTTGAATCATGTCCAATAAAAATGCTGACTTTTGAATTCTTCTCTGCACTGGAAAGGAACAATCTTATACACAGACACAGATGTATCAAGAACTATAATACGGTTCAAGATGGTCTGTGCCTTTTAAAATATTTTAGAGAAAATAAACAAAGTCATTCAGTTTCCAAATCATGGTACTCAAAGAGGTTGGGGGGGTTTGTTGAACACAAAGAGCAGAAAAAATATGGCATTGTAGAAAATGGATCAATGTATCATATTAGCAAATGAAGAATTTATTTTAACATTGGACTCTTGTTCCTCTGTTTGGTTCTCTGATTTTTTCAACATTTCACTTTTACAGTGACTTTACTTCAAAACCCAAACCACCACTCAGAGTTGTGATATTACATGCATTTAACATCATAATCCTGCTACTGCTTAGAAATGTACACTATGCTTAATTAGAAACATAGAAGTTAACTGAAGGTTCATAACAGTAAATGTTTCAGGAATGCATAGCCATTAGTAATAAAGTGTTTTTTTAGTTTTTCTTAACCTATAGAGTTGTTTTGTTCTACTAGAAGCCTGTAGCCAGAGCTGCCTTCAGCTGATGAGAATATTGACAGCTACACACAAAAATACAAACCTACTGAACTATAGAAAATTGAGTTTCAGTCCAAAAAACCATTAAACTACCTCACAGCTCTGACAATTTAAATGGATCTTGATATAGTTATAAACATTGTCTCACTTGATATTAACTTCAAAGTCATGTAACTGGAAAAACATATTTTATGACAAACCATTAAAAACTATATTCAGGCACTTGTTGTGTTAACCTTTACCTAACCAAGCTATAATATTTATTTCAGTATTTGTCGGAGCTGATCCTGTGGATAATGTCTGAAAAAGCAACCGAGCAATGGATTAAGTTGATAGCTGGTAGTGGCAATTACTTGTATCAAAATAGAATTTGGAAACACACAAAAAAAAAACTGAATATAAATTATTTTAGACACAGACAAAAATTCAAGTATAAAACTAAATATGATTCAATGCATGGATTCGATCATCATATTGTAATGATATTGTATAAGTAGATCAAATGCTAAATATCATGTAATTCATCACAGTGTAATTCACTTGGAGGATATTAAGGATCTGATATGTTGATTGTACAGCCCACGAAGATACAATACCTTCAGTCAACTAGTTAACTACAGCTATTGGAACAATAAAAAAAATCCATATCAAGTCATTTATCTGTTGTAACATTATAAAGAGAATCATGACATTTCATTATCTACTGTATATGACAAACATTCTTACTTTTGTATTATTGTCATAGAATACTATGTTAGCCTTATCCTGTTGTAAATAGATCTTCTTAAGCCCCCACTGCTATCTTTAACCAGAGAGCTTTAACAACACTTCTGAAGTTGTTGTAATTGCAATGCTTTTAAATTTGATTAGAAATGTCTTTGGCTAGTGGTGAAACAGAAAGCAGTTATGTCACATACTGTACAGTAAGCAGAGGATATAAATGATCCTTTCAGCTAAGCACACCCTTACAGTCACCATACTTTGACAGTTAATACTGTCCCTGACAAGAGTCTTTAGAGAATTTCTACACTTTCGATTCAGGTGT